GCAATAAGGACACCAAAAATTTTGCAAGCCAAATATCCAGAATTATTCTTTTTTTTTTACTAATTTCAAATACACTTAAAACTAACTCCAAAACAGTCAATGTTCAAGTAGCCAATTTCTAATTAAACGTCTGAATGACTTTGGGGAAAGAGGGGAAGACAGGTTGCCTAGGAAACAATCAGACAGGAGAGTCAGAAGCCCCCAGTGGCTTAATAGTCAGAGAAAGAAACTTAGGAAAGGCCTGCCCTAATGGACCACGGTTAAAAGTGACTGTGGGAAGTTTATGTTTTCAGAAGCTTTGCAGTGAAGTAGAATTAGTCATCTAGTCCTGTTTCGTGTCTGGTTTACCTGGGAGGGCTGACACAAACAAACTTTGACATAAAAAGAATTTGAGGGGATGGGGAGCAATTTGAAGGCTTGATAAATTTGAATATGCACTCCATATTTTTCTGCTATTAACAGGCCTTTTAGAGTTCTTTTGAAGATGGATCCACTTCAGTCATAAAGGCATTCTGAATCTTAAAATCAGCAGGATCCTCAAACATATGTCCTTATCCACCTCAAAACTCAGCAAGACAAACCAATACTGCACTAGTGGCTTTGTGCATTTATGCCCCATCCATTTTTCTTTTGAAGGCCATGTGTATATTTAAACTCATCCAACTTTACCAAAAGAGTCTTTATTAGAAAATTTATCTTGAAGATAAACAGTCAGTGGCATGACGTGAGTAGGAAATAATAAGGTCCAGTATGGCATCTTTCTTTGCCATGTTTTTCTAAAACTTTAAAACTCCATTCCTTGTTGACCCTACTCTGCCTAAACCAGTTGTACCCAGGACATGACCCATTTTTCCTGTTTTGCTGGCTCAGGAAAGAAAATCCAAAATACATCATTGCAATTACAAGTACTAAGACAACTTCTGATCACATCACCCAAAGCAGCACAGAATGTTTGAATCAGTTTCAGTCAAAATGATCTTTTTTTTGATCCATGTTAGAACCAAACCAGACCATTCTATGTTGTACATAACTCATAAAACACACACATTTTTTTTTTAGTACAAACTATTGAGGTTTCTTTTGTAAACTCCGCTACAGACTTCCATATGAAGACTGGAGCTTTCGTAGATGTAAATAATAAAGACAGTTTGGTCTGTTGTTTTTTAAAATGGAGCAAGTCAAAGTTATATTTATTCAAAGATAATGTTTAAATCAGAGGAGGCTTGAGAATTGTTCAAGCTGGAGCATGATTCGCATTTTGTATATTAATACGTAGAAGTGAATGCTGTTAATTTAATGGTTTTGTACTTCTCCAGCTTTTGAAGGCAACTTCCATTTTACAGAAATTATCAGGGTGTAAGAAATGCATATTTTATGATAAATCACACATGAAATCTGTATTTATAGTATAATATACTCTGAATATTAGTTTATCATAGAATACAGGTACTGTTATCCTCGACTTATGACCAGTTTGGATGAGAATTTCCATTGCTAATCAAGGCAGTTATTAAGCGTATCACTCCTGATTTTACAAGCTTTTTTTTTGTTTGCCACGATTGTTAAAAGAATCACTGAAGTCGTGAAGTGAATCACATGGTTGTTAAGTCTGGCTTCCCCTGTTGACTTCCCTTGTTGCAAAGATTACAAAATTGACGTTGTTTGAAATGAGCGTGTTCTTCATTTGAAGCAATTTCAGGTTCAGTATACATCAAAGCCACTGTGTCAGTAAATGCCAATGTTGTACAGAGAGATACATGTGAGAATCCATTTGGGGAAAATCAGAATTTATCCACCCTGAACGATAGAAACTCCTCCTGCTTGGAAGAATCTAGAAGAAACCAAAGGGAGAGCCCCCCCCCCCAGAACTGTCTCTTGGATAAAAGGGGATACAAATCTAAATAACAAGAACAACATAAATTGTTTCCGGATAGCTGGCATGTGAACAATATTTTCTTATTAAAAGGCAATAGAAGATTTTTATGTCTAGAACTACGGATAGTCCTCAACTTATGGCCACAATTTTTTTGCTGTCAAGTGAGACGTTTGTTAAGTGAATTTTGCCCCATTTTATAACTTTTCTTGCCACAATTGTTAAGTGAATCACTGCAGCTGTTAAGTTAGAAACACGGTTGTTAAGTGAATCTGTCTTCCCCATTGACTTCGTTTGTCAGAAGATCGCCAAAGGGGATCACATGACCCGGGGACACTGTAGCCGCCATAAATATGGGTCAATTGCCAAACATCCGAATTTTGATCATGTGACCACGGTGATGCTGCAGCGGTAGTAAGTGTGAAAAGCGGTCATAAGTCACTTTTTTCAGTGCGGTTGTAACTTTGAACAGTCATTAAATGAACTGTTATAAGTTGTGGACTACCTGTACTGTTTTGAAGCGTAGCTGCCAAAATTGCCTGTAGATTGCTTCCATTGGTGTAAAATAAGTTACCATTTGTATCTATTTGAAGCAGCTATTATTACATTTCCAAATATCAGCTTAGAGGAAGTACTTAGTTCTTGACAAAATTCTCATAGTTTTTGTTTGTTTTTCATCAAATGCCTGCTAAGCTCTCCTTTGTTAATTTGAAATTGCTTCCTCTGCAAATTGGATATTTACTAATGGTATGTCTTCCCTCGCTTCTGTTTATCTGTCTTTTGTAACATTTGCTGAGAATATTTGGTACCTATTCCCTGCTGCTGAGGTCAACTTTTGGAATTTTTCCTTTGCTGGTTGAGTTTCCTCCATCCTAATTTCATCCCCCATTTTCTTACTAGATCCTAGAAGGACAGGTTTCCAAGGGTGTTACAATAGATAGGGGTAATTGAATCCGGAATGTGATTGTGTCCCTTCTTTCTGTCCAGGGGATTTGGGCTTACCTAGGCAGCCATACATCTGTCTCAAATTTGCCTCCAGCAATGAACAGTGCTCCTTGTTTCTAACATACCTTTCACCTTTTGAGTGCTCCTGAGGTTGGGTCACCATAATAAGCCCAATCCTATTACGATTAAAGCTCTTTTTGCATGAAACCTCTCTGTGTTGTTACTGTAGTTAAAGATTATATAGCTTCACAGTATAGCATAATAGCCAGTGAAGTCTGGGGAAGGGGCCAAGAAGAAGCACCGTTGAATGAACCTGTGGTGGAATGTAGCCTGGATTCCCAGGAGGCAGAGGCTGCATTCCTGAGGAGCAAAAAACAGGGAGGTTTAGATAGTTTGAGTAGGAGGAAGAGAGTCAGAACAGCTCCTCCCTAGGAATTCGTAGAGTATATGTTTAAAGGTGTAAGTTGGGGGGTCTCCAAACTTCGCCATTTTTAAGACTTGTGGATTACTCCCAGACATCTTCAGCCAGCCATGCTGTATTCTGGAGCTGAAGTCCACAAATCTTAAAGTCGTCAAGTTTGGAGTTTTCTGGTGTAAGAAGTAGTTTGGCAAAATTTCTGTCTACGGGGAAGGAACAATAAGGGAAACTGCTTAGATGAACCTCCATGTGTCTTTGTTGGGTTGTAGCAGCCTGACTGAACCTGACATAAGCTTGTGCCCATTGCATTTGATATTTCAAACATGAAAATAGGGCACTTTGCAACAATCTCAGTTTCAGAAGTGCTTCTTCACAATTTAAGCAAATTCCCTTGAAAAACACTTTTGGTAAAAGATGGGTTGTTTTTAAGTGTAACGCAGTGAGAAAGTTCTCACTCCTGTCTACTTTGTTTTTTTTCCCCACTTGTTACCAGCTCAGGTGGATAGTTTTGTACCATGTGGGAACCACTAGCTGATACTTCTGGAAGCACCCAATTTCTAAGTATTCTTTGAACTATAATGATGTATATGATGAAGCTCCAATGACAAGCTGCAGAAAGACAAGAATTAAAAAAAGTTATTTTAGTTTGGAATAATAGGCAACATCATCTGTAGTTTATGGATATAGTCTGCTACCAGTTTTTACTTCGTTGTAAACATGAAACACAATAAAATTAATTATTGCTGTTAAAGTCTGTGACCTTTAAGTATGCTAATGCTGAAGTTTTTCTGACAGAGGTCGACCCCAAGGCCCCTAACTTGCGGGGTCCCACAAGGGTCGGTCCTCTCTCCCCTTTTGTTCAATATTTATGTGAAGCCGCTGGGAGAGATCATCCGTGGCTTTGGGGTGGATTTCCATCAGTACGCTGATGACACTCAGCTGTACATCTCCACCCCAGGCCACCCCAACGATGCCCTTGACGTGATGACNTCCTTTTTATAAGATTTTTTTTTAATTTCACTTGTCTTTTATGCTTGAACTCTATTAGTATAGGTGTGGCCATTAAAATTAAAATTCACATTCCATACCAGGAATCAATATAGTGAGATTTGCTATCTGACATTCAAGAATTAGGATAGTGATGTCAAGAATCTCCTGACATCCTGAAATATTGTTTGTAGAATAAAGTGGGACTTTTAACAAGAGCCCATTTTTCTGACATTTAAAGGGGATGTCTAGATGCTCATGTGAATAGAAAAAATAAGATGTAGAGCCAAACAGTCACGAAATGCTATTGATATTTGTGCAAGGATTAAAGGTATACAAATTCCTAATGAAGATAATTGGTAATAATGCAGCTAATTTTAATTCTGTTAGGTTAAGTAATAGCTGTAGTGGACAAGAAACATTTTATTGATTGAAACCTAACTAAATAGAATCAGACATCTTGATGTATTTTAGTTTAATAAATATATATAATTTAAAAGTCCTTTGTTGGAAGAATGGCAAGTTTAGGGTTAGGATTACAGTCTTAATTGTTATAATATTTATATTATATATATAATGTGTGTCATGATGCATGCATGTATGAAATGGCAGAGCTTGAATCACAGTAGTTTTGTTATTTTTTGTCTATCATGATCCATAGAAATCACTGTTTAATATCTGTGTCTACATTATCAATTCTAATAATAAGAATATCATGATTTTGTATTGCTATATAAATCTTTAATTTTAAATTAAATAGTATCTTTTCCTCAACAGATCTTTGTGTACACTTGTATGTAAATGGACATACTCCTCAGAAACTGGCTGGGATGATTGTTTCTGGAAATCAATTGGATTAGAAGATCTGATGGCAAATAAATACTCAAAAATAGGTAATATATAGTATTGAATTCTTTTTGATTGTAGGTTTCAATAAGAAATTTTAAGGCTAGATAAGAGTCCATTCAAATGTAATGGAAAGCCATGTTTACTATTATAATTATACATTTTGGGGACTTTATTTAAGAAAACAGTTGTATCTCTAAACTACTGTTGTTACATTGTATACTGTATTCTACACTTCATGGTAGAAAATTGCTGGAATCTTTCTGTCTAAATTATGACAATAGATACTTACTTTACAAATTGAGGGTATCTGGCTAGAATCTGGTTAAACTTTTTGTTTCGTGTTTTAGCTTTTGTTGTGCCAAGGACTGATGTAGATGTAACTCGTATGTTATGCTTGAATTAAGAAAAGGAGGGTTAATGTGTATGATATGACTTGTTCTGGCTTAATGCAAGTATAGTTTAGGTAATTTTTAGATCTATTTTGAATGCATTCTAGGAAGCATTAAATTTTCTCAAGGAAGAATGAATATAGCTCCCTCCTGTTTTACCACAAGAACCCTATGTGGTTAGCCAGAGAGAAAGGATATGTTGTAAGCTTTTGTAGTTGAGGGTGGAGTGGAACCAAGGTCTGTCTGCTCGGATACCTTAACTGCTACATTATACTGTCTCTGTAGTAAAAGCAATATAAACCTAGATTCGTTTAAAACGTGGTGGGGAAAAACAAAACAAAGTATCCAATATTTATTCATGGAAAAATAAATGAAAACAGAGGTCTAATGGAAAATCACATTTATTGTTAGGTTTTATGAATTTCAGGCAGGGATGATCACAGAGATGGCCCATTGGTGTGTGTTACAAGGTCCACACATTGTCAATTCTGCACCTAAAATAGATAATCTAACTGTGACTGAACAACAAGTTCAGATAGCTGCAAGACTATCAAAATGGGTAAGCTTGATCTTGAGAGATTGGAATTGGTCTGTTCCTCCTTTTTCAGCAAACAAATTCTAACTGTGGATATAATCTTCAAGTACTGAGATTTAAGGAAGCTATTCAAATCCTAAAATGGTAATTGGCAGAAATGTTTGCAGAAGAGAGTCAAAAGAGAGTAAACACCGAAAACCCCAATCCTATGGGATACCTCTGATGGTTAATATCTTAATCCAGTTTTCATAGAAGTTCTCTCGGTCAGTCAAAAGATAAATCAAGGAATTTCTAGCCACTATGTATAACCATGATAAATTGATATTTTTCTTGACTTTCATCAAACATGACCCTACATTATGATTCTAATACACAGCCGTTCCCAGGTAAAGTGTTAGGTATTATCCATTTTTTGTATCTCTTCACAATAGACTTCCTTAGAGCAGGGGTCCCCAACCCCCAGTCCATGGACCGGCAGAAATCGGTCCGCATAAACAACCAAAGCCCCATCCGCGGGATGCAGTCAGTACATGAAACCACACCCCCTCTGGTCCACGGAAAAACCTCTCTCCACGGAACCAGTCTCTGCTGCCCAAAAGGTTGGGGACCTCTGCCTTAGAGTATGCAAGAAAATGCCACTTTCTAAGCAGTCGCATGTGATACTGCCTTAGTACTGAAGCCTGCTATGACAGGAGGGCATGGCCCCATTCAGAGGTAAGGACAGTGAAAAGTTAAAGGCTTGCTGTGGCATGTATATTCCAGAAAATATTTAATAAACTGAAAATATTATTACAGCATCAAGTGCCACTGCTTTTTCTCCACAACAATCCCAACACACCAGGAATGGATAACAATCTTGAAACTACTTTGCAGTTATCATGCACCCTTCTTTTTTTTTTTAAAAAAAATGTAATTTTATTTCCAAAGCTAAAATACAAAATCCAAAAAAGAAAGAAAACAAAGAGAAAACAAAAATAAAATAAAATACAAAACTAGAACAATGCGCATAAAGACAAAGTAACAAAGATATACAATCTACTTTGTCACTTTGTCATCATGCACCCCTTCTGTGTCCCTCTCCAAAATAATTATGTGAATCACAGATTGCTCACTCTACATAGTACAGAAGGCTATTTGATTTGGACTGGTATACCTCCTGCTGTTTCTAGTAAAAAAAATATCTGGATTTAAAAAATGTGATTAAGCTGATATAATTTAACATGCTTTGTGAACTCAACTATAATTATTTTACCAATTTGAGCCAAAGTTTAATGACAGTGTTAATCTCATTAACTGCACAGTACTTAAAATGGATTTCCATTTAAAACTATAATGCTCATTTGGCAAAATTTTTCCAGGCTAATTGTAATCAATTTTCCTTGTTCACTTAATGGGCTTTTAACGGCTATGCTAAGCAGCCGTGACATGAATGGGAACATTAGCATACATTTTTAAATAATTACTTATTTTAAAATACCCTTCACAGTTAATCATTTAGATTTTCTTTTTCAGCCGTAGTGTAATTTTCTAAAATAAATGGAAATCAGAAGATATCGGTAATGTATGAAGGTTTCTTGTATTCAATAACTTTCGTATGCTACTTTTTTAATTTATGTTACATTGAAAATTTTGTATAGGCTGTTCTTCATTTATTGTACTGCTAATAAAGAGTAATATCATATAGTAAAATCTTTTGTCAGATGAGAAGAGAAAATTTGCATGCTAATTTGCCCTAAAAGTGAAAAGAATTGTATTACTTCCTGTCTTAGAAGTTAAGGTCTGTTAGAAAGGCATTGCAATAGATTTATTATCCATAAGAAAGTACTTGTATCCAAATTGTTCACAAGGAATCTTGACCCATGTGTTGAGTACAGTTTGTCAGTCTGTCCTCCCTCTGGGATCTGCTTCCTGTGTTTGTTCACTTAACATCCACTGCTTTGGGACTGGGGGCTAAAACATATGAAAAGTGGTTGCAGGAATTGGGTATGTCCAGTTTAATGAAAAAAAGGACTAGGAGTGACATGATAGCAGTCTTCCAATATCTCAGAGGTTGCCACAAAGAAGAGGGGGTCAACCTATTCTCAAGGCACCTGAAGGCGGGACAAGAAGCAATGGATGAAAACTAATCCAAGAGAGAACCAACCTAGAACTAAGGAGAAATCTCCTGACAGTTAGAACAATTAATCAGTGGAATGACTTGCCTCTAGAAATTGTGGATGCTCCAATGCTGAAGGTTTTAAGAAGAGATTGGCAACCATTTGTCTGAAATGGTATACAGTTTCCTGCCTGGACAGGGATTGGATAGGCTGCTGGCTGAGGAATTCTGGGAGTTGAAGTCCACAAGTCATAAAAGGGTCGAGTTTGAAGACCCCTGGACTAGAAGATCTCCAAGTTCCCTTCTCAACTCTGTTATTCTGTTATTCTGCTTCACCTATTTTTCCGCTTTCCAAAAGTGGGAAGAAAAAACCCTCTCTATTGGCTGTACAAACAATGGCTGTTAAGCGGGAATTCCTTAAATGCTCCAGATTACTTCCATAGGAGAACGTAAGGTTTTGGCTATGTTCTCTGGCGTCATCTAGTACAGTGTTTCTTAAACTGTATTTCATGGAACACCAACATTCTCTGAATAACTCGACATCTTATTAACATGTTCCTTGAATTGTTTCCAAGATTCAAGCCAACATTTTTGTGGATTTTGGATCTATTCAGTAGTATCAGAATTAAAGGAGCACTACTCATAGTGGTAGGGAAGATATTCGCAGATCTTTCCTTAGATGTTACACTGAAACCGTTGAATTAAAAAGTAATTATGAAAGACTTTTGGATGAAAGTTTACCCCAAATATGAGCTTTTAAGTATTTTTTGAAGGACTCACTGGAGAAGAGCCTAATGCTGGGAAAGATTGAGGGCAATAGAAGAAGGGGATGACAGAGAATGAGGTGGCTGGATGGAGTCACTGAAGCAGTAGGCGTGAGCTTAAATGGACTCCAGAAGATGGTAGAGGACAGGAAGGCCTGGAGGAATGTTGTCCAGGGGGTCGCAATGGGTTGGACACGACTTCACAACTAACAACAAAATCTTCGTGAGACTGGGTTTACAACATTTATTGTGACCTAGACCTGTTGAATTGCTATGTTGATTCCTTCTTCAATTAATGATTTCAGTCATTGACAAAATATAAAATCATATGTAAGCTCATGCAACCAGTTACAATTTACAATCTATTTATTATATGTAAAGAAAGATTGAAACATTATTGAAATATGAAAGATTGAAACATTATAAAATATTTCAATACCTTTTATTTTTTCCCCCTTTTAAAAAGAAATAGCCATAGCTATTCCTTATTGAAAAGTTTAATGCTGTAACAATGATCTTGCCAATTGGGGAAGAATTTGATTTTGAACAGATCTATTAATCCCCAGTAGAAAGCAATTGAAAGCTTCAGTGCTGGAGCAAATACACAGAAGTTTCCCATGTGATAGCCTTGGGGGTTTTGTGCCCCCCCTCTTTTTTTTTTTTTTTGCAATGTTATAGATGCTCTTAAATATTGGTCTTTCAATTTTTCTCTCCTCTACTTAAGTACAATCCTAATAGCAATTACCTTTTGGCAATTATTTCTTTCTACACTAAAAGGATACTACTTATATGTTTTAGCAGAAATTTGAGCACCCTAATGGCCAAGTTGCCCTGCGGTGGAATTTTTTTTTTTTTTTTAGCTTAAATAATTTATGAAGCTCAAGCTAGAGTTTGAATACAATATTTATATTGTTTATTTCAAGGACAAGGGAAGCACTTTCCTTTACCAAACCTATCTGCGCAAATAAGAAATTATTTTATATAATTGATAGTTTGAGATAGTAAAACTAGGATGTGGCATGTAATAAGCAACAATTTGTACAGTGTGGAAACGATCATTAAGTATTTTGAAGATAATTTTTCTGTACTTGAATTGTAAATGCATATATAAATAAATGTGAGCAGTAGATTCCATTAGTTTTTACGCTAACTCTGATTTTTGTATTTTGCAAGTTCGTTTTATCTTATTACACAATACGGAATGCTGTGGCAGGTTTTTTTTTCCTACTACAACTTGATTCCAAAGTTCTGTGTAGTTGGA